ATGTTCTCCCGCTCGAAGTGGAGCTAAGCTAAGCTGCTAAGCCCAGCTAAGCCCTGCACGTTCAGTGCGCTCTTTACGCGGGAAATGCAAAGCAGCAGCAGATAGGCCTCAATGGATCTCGGCTGAGAAAGCCGTTTAGAGGCCATTGCTATTGGGTTGAAGAGTTGAAGGCCATTGCTATTCAGTTGGAGGCCATCGCTACTAGCTTGGAGGACGATAGGCCTCAATGTCTGAGAAAGCCGTGTTGCGCGGCGCGTTCCTGGCAAACAGCAGACAGCTTCGTTTGCCTTGTTGCTTGTAAAGCCTAGAGACAGCCGTGCTACTCTCCAAAATGCCTGAAGATGGACTTAGAGCTCTCTGTTCCGTTGTGGTGACCCAAGGTGTTCCATTCAAACATGTTTGTGAATGGATTGATGAATATCATTATTCCATTTGTTATATGTGAATGTGCATGATGTTTTCTTTGTAAATGCAGATTGGATCCTGAAGGGAATTCCTGTCTTGCGCATGGTCAACATGTGCCGTCCGATGTCACCTCCCCTTTGAACAAAAGACATGTCGCGCATCGCTGCTCGTCGCTGCTTCATACATTCTCTTCTATCGAATGCATTCTGCCCTTGTCCTGACGCCTAAAAAAGGACTCCTCGACTTGAGAAGTGACCATCAATTCATGGATCTTGGCTCCCAGTCTATTCTTGATTGGTCTTCTCGAGTGCTCTGGGACGAAGAAGAACCATCTTTTGATTTGATCTATGGCCCCTCTCGTCTCGGCTTCTCCGGCGCCCCTCTCGTCTCGGCTCACGCTTGTTGCAGCGGCCTCCGAAGCAGAGAAGCCGTACAAGCGGTGCTGAACCTCGGAAGCGGCGCAAAGATACCGGAGAGAGGAACAGCTGTGATTGGAAGACTCACCAAGCTTGTTGGGTAGAGCCCGTAGTCCACTGATTGGAGTCCCAAACAAACACTGGAACACCCGTGTGCATTTGGTGAAGGTGGATTCACGCATCAAAAAAAGAACATCACCGGAATCCGCTCAAACCAGGCCTATGGCAGATCGAGTGATATGGTCGGCGTCTCGCCGTCACAGTTCCATGGAAGTGGATGGCATGGTTTCCTGGCTTCGACGATGATTTTCCTCTGCTAACAAGGGGGGGGTCCACTTCCATATGAGCGAGTCGCCGTTCCTCTGCGTTCCATCACGCTCTTCTCCCTCAATGGCGAAAGGGGCCTTCCATCCATCAGAGCTGGCTGGTTTTCTTCGCTTGGGCAGAGAATGGTAGACCCTATTGGCTGTAACAACGGATACTGTTACTACTGATGATGATGATGATGATGATGATGGCCTCATTGGCAGGGACCAAGAAGGTCCCAGAAGAGCGAAGTCCAGTGTTACTCACAACGGGCCCATTGAACAGGGGGTGATTGACACCTGAAACCAGCAAGTCAGGTGCTAAAGCCATTCAGTTGTCCATTCATTTTGGGTGGCTCTCCACAAACATCTACAAACGCAAATTGCGGATGCATCTCTGCACCCTCCACAAGCCCGACTCACGGACTTAGCTCACGTCCTGGCGGGCCGGATCTCTCTCATACCTACGCGTTGACGGCCGACCATCGCCCACGGCCGCCGCTGGTGGGAGGCGCCTGGAAGAGGAAAAATGGAATCTGAAAACGCGGAGGTTCCGCCATCAGGTTCCATGTGGGTCCAACCCCCCCCAGGTGCCTTGCTTCTCTCCCAACGGACTGCCGCCCCCATACCGTCCCGCCAGGCCACTCGATCGAGCAAGGAACTGAAGATGGGGCTCTGCAGGAGATCCGCGACCTGAGCCGAACGCCAGGCGCGTGGCGGACCGTGGCCCGTCGTGTTCGGGAAGCGTCGGGAAAGCCGAAAGGAGACACGGAAAGCGCCGTCGCGGAGGTTCTTCGTGTCACAGGATCCCCAGGTGTGAAGTTCATAGACCAAAAACCTTTAGAGACCCATCTATGAAGGTCGGGAAATCCTCCGGTCATGCCTCCTCCATCGGAATGAGCCCGAAGACTCGAAGAGAAAGCACCGCGATCGACTCGGGGTTGGATCCGCAGCCACGAAGAGCAAGACGAACTCAGGAACCAAGGCCCGTTTCGTTCGGTGGGTGGTTTTGGTATGTTTGAGTCTTTGGAATGTTTAGTTTGGTATGCTTCGGTTTGTAGTTTCGGTTTGTGGTTGGTGGTTTAGTCTGTGGTTTGTTCCACTGCACTGTACTGGTTGCCTACAGTGTCGTTCTGGTTCGTTCTGGATCCACTGGGACAGGGACAGCAAATCTGCCAACAAACAGGATTGTGATGGTCTGCTTGTAACAGAAGGGTAGCTATATATGTGAGTCTGGCTATGACCGAAGCTCGCAGAGTTGGGGATGATGGGAACTCCTTCTCTGCTTGGATGGGCCCCTTGAAAGACCATGTTCCTCTACCAAAAGGGTCCTCAACACCGCTTCCAGGTGACTCGGAGCGATTCTATGAGATGAGATGATATAGACCTTTCATGTCAGGGGCTGATTAACCATAATATGGCCTATGTATTCCCATTGTTAGGCCATACATGGGCTGATTTGAATCACCTGTCACAGCTCGCTCGCGCCTGGTTCTCCTGGATGGCGCGGCTGGTGACTTCTCCCAGCACCGCCAGACACTGGCGCAACAAACACGGCGGGATCCACGAAAACGGCGGAGGTCTGGCCTGTTGTAATGAAATCCTTTGATGGATGAGTCTGAAAAACACCTGAACACGATCTTCAAGCTGCAACGATCTGAAAAAAGTGGGGTGTCCCACCATCTTCTGGCACCCCGCTTCATTTTTAAGGACCTGGATAGGCTCACGAGAGACAAACCCTGAAACATCCTCATCGAGTCAACCGCAAAGAACTGTCCACAGATAGGAACCTCCTCCAGGATTGCTCCACCTGATGAGGCCCTTGATTCCTCCACTTCACACTTCTTACAACTGCCTCCCGTGTTCAGCCCCCCACTTTACCCTCGCCCCCCACCCTCGTTCCTGGTCTCCCAACCCCTGGCGCTTGCCACTTCCATCGCGTCCGTCCCACCTTGGTGGCCGTCCAGGACGAGGAGCGCTCCGCCGTCTGCAGGAGCTCCGCCAGGGTAGGCTGACCCACCAACTGCGTCCGCACCCAGCGCCTCACCACCGAGGCGCGGTGGCCCGTGCCACTGTAGGCTGGTGTGGGCAGGTCCGGATCACGAATCTGGTGGCCGAGGGGTTATTGATGTCTCTGCCCAAAAAGGGCTGGCGCACAGAAAGAAGATCTTGGAAGTGGCAGCCAACAAAGGCAATAAACCAACACCCACGCCCGGTCATCCACTCATCCCTTGCGACCCCCGCCGGCCAGCAATAATTCCCCCCGTCCCTTTGTCGAGAGGGGCACCTGGGCCAGGCAGCTGAGCGGAGGAACGTCAGGCGGCCCCGCCTCTCGAGCGGAAACGGGGAAGAAGTGGTCCGTTTCCGCATGCTCGGGGAAAAGTCTGGAATTGATTTCAGAGATCCAAGGGAAATCCAACGTTTCAAGCTTGGGCAACTGAACCATCTCTTTACGCTTTCCAACTATATATATATAATATATATTTACAGTATTCTTTTATTTTTGTTGTCGCATGAGTGCCTACTTGTGCCTCCAGTGGCCATGGTGTTGGCCACGGTGTTGACCAGTCAGCACAACAAAACCTGTGAGTCATGGAAACCGGTGTCGCTTTGACGCTTGGCACCTGCAGATCAGTGGAGAAAGCGCCATGGCCAGAAAGTGCCTTGCTCTGCGTGCTGAAGAAGCCGCACTCTTCAGCACTGAAGAAGCTCTGTTGTTCCATCAGTCAGTGTTGTTGAAGGAAGGATTTTCAGGCGCGCGGTTCAGTTGATTCGCATGTGGAACAGCCCTTCAAAGGCTCACTTTTTCTTGAACCGACTGGTCAAGGCGGCGAGCCATGTCCAGAAGCATGGAAATCAAAAGAACCCCTGCCAAACAATACCCAGATACGACTGATGGGACTGGAATGTATGCTCCCTGGGAATCCCAAACCATTCGTTTCATGGTCTTTAAGTGATTCCAAGGCCGGAATGTTCTGAGGTGCCCCAAACAGAGTCTTTGGACTTCGGTACTTACATTGACTCCCTTTTCAATCCATCACCCCTAGAACTTCTCGGTCGCCAGTCCCATGGGTCCCATACGTCGCGTCGCACGGAGACGAACCACGCGCGAGGACGACCGCGAAGACGAAGAAGCTCCCTGGACCGGGAGGCTGGAGGTGCAAACGAAGAGATCTGTGCGAAGACCTATGAATAATGAATGAATAAAGAATTGAATGTGTAGCGCTACAGTGATGGATCTTTCGCGGTACGGTTCTGTGACCACCTGACCACCGGAGGAGCGGTGCTCCGGTTCCGACCCAAAACGAGGTCAGCGGGCGGTTTTCGAGGCATACTCCTTCGCCGGTCAGTTTCAGACTGGATTTGGAACCTCCGGTTCTGCCAGTTCGGCATGCAGCCCCAAGTACGTCAGAGAATGGCAGAGCTTGTGACACAGAGCGATTGTCATCGAACACCTAGTGATCTAATTAGCATGGAATCATAGCTGATCTTAGCTACCTTGCTCCAGCATGGCCTATGAAACCTTCAACACTCTTGGGACATCTTCCCTCAATCCATGCGACACTGAAAAAAGAAGCCCCATCGCTTCGGGCCCCAACAACCAGAGTTCTCCATCTCCGCGGGTCATGTCACCGGTGCTGGTGGCGATCCCCGGAGGTTCCGAACGACTTGGCGGTCGGTCATGCGAAACGGTGAAAGCGGTGGGCCGGAAACACCCTTTCAGGAGCACCGGTGAGCAGTGAGACGTGGCCAGGATGGAGGATCTCGGTCTCGTTTCTGGAGCGGTTTTGGCAAGACAGGGTGGATGGTAATGGTAGAGGGTTCTTGGCACGCAGCCACTCCATCAGCTACAAGCTCAAAACCTTCTTGTCTTCTGCACCATGGCTCCACTGTTTGACCCTCCATGGTCCACTTGGCTGCCGCTCTTCGACAGCAACTACCGTCGAGAGGCCCGCGAGCCGCGGGAGCCACTGCGGCTGCGGGCGGAACCCAACGAGCTTTGGCTTTCGGAGCGGCCCGTGCGGCTGCTGCTGCGACTATTGGGCTTGCCGCTCCTGCCACGATCGGATCGATCGGGCAATGGCGGATGCATGAAGATTCATTAGGTCAGAGGTTTTGCTAAGCCGTCCACGAAAAAACTGAAACACATATGACCATGGCAAAACCACATGCCACCAGTGGACAAACGCTGAGACCTTGCAAGTGAAGTTCGAGTTGAACTGGTCAAAGCTACTAGGGTTACCAGGCAAGACCTAGTGAATATCCAGGGCCTAAGCTGTTGAAGCTATTGGTTGAATTCTTCGTGTCACCTATACACGATTTTCAGTCTGGCAAACACACTGGTCGGATGTGGACGAAAGAAAGTGGTCGGCTCAACAGGGAAGAATACACACAAGCCACAGTGAGGTGAGTTGGTAGCGCACGAATGAAACATCCACATGCTTGCTCGCTTTCTATTTCTCTTGCCCTCTGAATTCGCGGAAAGTCCCAGGAAGAATCTGACAGCTTGCTCTCCATGAGGCCCACATCTAAGATTTCAGAATCACTTTCACTTTCACCACCCTTCTCACCATCATCATCCTCCATCCTCCCCCCAGTCTCCGCTCTTCAAACCCCGCGTTTGGCGCCTCTTCTTCCGATCCTCTCCAGTCTCCGCTCCCGGCGCATGGAGTGGAAACTGCGCCTCGTAGGCGGACAAATTCACCAGCTCCTCGCTGGTGGGGCCCCACTCCATGGCCAGGATGCCATCGTAGATGATGGACTTCCTCGAGGAGTCGGAGACGAAACGAGCGATGGTCGCCAGCTTCCCATAGAGACGAACGGTTTGGAGTCCGATGTGACAGGGACACGTCCGTTCCTTGGTCCGTTTCTTCGGCACCCCTCCATTGGGTGCTGGGAGCTGCATGGGAGCTGTAGCGGTCACCGGGAGCGACATGGAAAAGTCGGCAGGGCGGCGACATGGTGCGAGTTATGACAACGGCTTAGGTGCCTTCGGTGGGACTCATGTTTGCTTAAAATGTCCTGTCACGGATATAGTATACGCGACAGCGAGTCCTTCGGTTGGACTCGTTGTTGAACCTCCGTCATGTAGCAATTGAGAGTTCAATCAACGAAGTCGTAGGTTCAGAGCGAGAGTCGATGGGACAAAGACCCCAAACGGGTGCTCCGGACAAATCATGGCGCACGAATCAATCACACGAACATTCACACGAACACACGCATCAAGCACCAAATGGTGCTCCAGTTCCATGAAATCACACGAATCGAACACACGATGTTCACTGGAAAATCACCCACTGGGCGGCTCCAACCACCACGGAACTGGGCCACGCGGGTTCCCAAACCTGTCCACCCACCGCACAGCACACTTGCGCTCCTGAGCTCAAAGAGGATGGGCACCCAGGTCCTCAGAGCCATCCGAGATGCTCCGTCAGAACATGTGGAATCGTTCTGTTGCTAAGTAAGAATTGCCCAATGTCCCAACGCCTAAAATGTTCATCTCCTTAAACCCGCCCAAAAACAAAAAACGTTCATCTCCAGTCCAGAAGCACCAAGGCCGGTCTCCACCCATGGCTGTCCGGTCTGCGCCCCCCCCCGATCGTGCACCTGCCCCGCCGAGCCGCTTGATGTGGTCCACGTAGGCCACGTCGCCGCCGGCGTCGATCTCCGCCTCGGCGACGAAGCCGCGGAGCTCGGCCTCGCTGAGCTGGCACTTCTCGGACTCCTGCTTCATGGCCTTTCGAGATGGAGATGGGATGGGAAATGGACGAGATGGACTGCTTCATCTTCTTCGACTCCTTCATGGGATGGAGTCGAAGATGGTGGCTCGAAGGGGAGGCTCCAAGTGGCTCATGGTCGGAAAGATGGTGATGGTCTGGATGGTCTACGGTGATTGGCTTGAAGACAATAAGCGCCCAGGGGCCCAAATGGCAGTAGAAGAACCTCTACTACCAGGATTTTGTCCACCCCCCTTGCAACAACCCTCAAGAAGAATCGTTCCACCTCCCTCCCCTGCCTCCAAGAATTTCCTCACCTCCAAGGTGGGCGGATTCCGATGCTTATCATCCGCCTGGGTTCCCACGTGGATCAAACTCTTCTCCACGGCGTCCCGGTCAGGTGCGTTCTGTTGCTGATCCTCTTGATCCTCCTGGCAGACTGCAGCAGACCAAAACTCCTCTGTGTTGCTGCGAGAACTTTTGAGACTGGTGTTTTCCCCGTCAAGTCTAAGAGTTCCCTTCTTAAAAGAGAAGTATAAGGCGGACGGTCGAAAATCTTGAACCAACAAACCCCCGTCCAACACAGAATAGTAGGCCGGCCGAACGCTGCATCCCGTCCTCGTCCATACCCCGTTTCTTGTTGGCTAAGCTGCTGCTTAAGCCTTGGAGCTCTTCCAACTCCTCAAGCAAACCGCACACGCTGAAGGCGTCGAGTAAAAGCCCAGCATGGGTCGAACAGGAGGGTCACTGTGGTTTTCCCAGGACTCCAAGTTGACAGGACAAGCAAGCAGAAAAGGAGATACTGTAAGTTTATAGAAGTCTGGAATTCTAGGTCATCTGCCTTGTAACTGCTGGAACCAGGGCATTCACGTGAGCCGACAAATGAGATACCACTAGTTAAGTCGTGGGCACAATACTGCGGTTGCAGCTTGACCTAACCCCATAACTGCAGCCAGAGGTGGTGTCCTCAGAGGTGGTGTTGACTCTCCAGTCGCCAGAGACTCTCCCATCCGGTCCTGCTTCGCCAGCGCATCCGCCTTCTCCTTGGCGATCGTCGCCGCCTTTTCCGCGAAGGCGTTGGTGTCGAACATCCTCGGCGAGACGCCGAACGCGGCCGAAGAGGACGGCGGAAGAAAACCCCGAAGCGTTCCCGAAGCGTTCACAGGATGAGACTGTCCACCGGGCTCTGAAGAAAAAGAAACGTCCAGATTTGGGAGGAAGACCTTTTCCGAGGGCATCTGCAAGTCGACGGTTTCTTTGCAAGACATGTGACCATGTGGGAGTGATCGAAATTCCACGTCCTTTTCACCAGGAAGAAAACAAAAACAACTTCCTGAAGAGCATTTCTTACTTTCAAGATCTTTCAAGATCTTTCAGGTGAATATCTTTTGCACCCGGTGAAAAATCTACGGATCAACATGACCACTGACCAGGTCAGGCGGCGAGTCCGTCGGAAATGGAAGTTCCAAGATACTTTAGCTGAATCACGGTGGAATCCTGGTTTTAGAAACAGAAAAGCTGGCTGTTTAATAGAAATTTGCAAACATGTGTGCATGAAGCAAAGGCTCCAAACTCTCATCCCCCAACTCTGACACAGAACTCCATCTGCTTTCCAACGTGCCAAGTGTCCATGGGATCACCGTGCAGCAAACCCGCAAGAAGTAGCCAAATTCCACATCCCCATGCTCATCCGGATGGACGATGCTCAGGATCACATGGATTTGCATTCGTGACAAGCAGAGCTGGTCTGCCTCAGTGGAAAACGCAAGCAATGTGAGAAGGTGTCCAAGCAACCGATCAGTTTCCTCGCCCGTTGTGGATGTGCCACCCGTCAAGCACAAGCGCAGCACGAGCAAATGGAAGATGGCTCATGGGAGACCGAGCTGATTCACAGGGTGGTAAAAGGGGGGCAGGCATGGGCTATGGCAGTGATGGGATGATGTTGTGGGATGAAACATCAATATTTACACTTTCTGGAATCATCATGGACGTGGAAAATGACTCGGAGTGTAAGACAGCTCATTCCCACCATCCCCTCCACACTCCACCCACCCTCATCCCATCACCACCCGTCTACGATCATCTATGGCCCACACCGACACATCCTACACTCGCACTGTGGGTGTCGCAGCGAGGGGCTGCCAAGAGGATCTTCCGGAGGTCCCAAACCGGCAAAATGTTGTCGCTGGGCAAACCCATGCGTCGGGCCAAGAGAATGAGATGAATCCTCAGGGCGCCCACGTCCGTCTCCACCAGGGCATTGTGCAAGGCATCCTGAGCGTGGTCAGACCAAGGCGACGTGAAATCGAGAAATCCCTGAGCAAAATGAATGTGGATAGCTTGGGCCTATCCTATTACCAGGGCCCAGTGGGCCCAGTTCTTGTTCACTGACGGCTTCGCCTGGCTCCACGGTACCTGTTTTGAAGAACCAACCGGACTCCATGCGTCGTCACGTTCGTGGTCGCCATGGCCCAAGACAGCGTGCCGGACGGATGGTTGAAAGGGACCATCCAATTGGCAGCGTGGTGGTCTTGAGGAAAACAAGGCCCCAAATCAACCAGCTAATCAAATGACGGGTCTCAATGCGCAGCTGTTGCAAGAGCATGGGGAATTCCTCATAGACTAAGACATTGCCCTGTTCATCTTCTCGGCACATCTGCATCAGCATCTGCACCTCTTGCAGCGAGAGCCGTTCCTGCGACAGCGAGGCGAAGAAACACACAGCTCGGAGGAGCATATGGGGGGGTGCGCTACATGTGGAAACAACAGCTACTACTGGGATGTTATCTTTTCCTCGGAAAGACCTCTCTCTTGGTGGTCTCTCTTGGTTGCTCAATTACAACACGTATGGCTTTCCGAAGAAGAGAACCCCTCCACGCCAAGCGTGTGTTGTTGAATGCTCCTGCACAATCCTATAGCCAAATCCAAAAAAGTACGGCATGGGCTTCCCTGCCTGAATCATGTGCTGAGCATTGAGAAATATGGAACGCTTCAAAAAACACCACAAAAAGGTCCGGAGGAAAAAAGAAAGCTTTCACCAACAGATTATCTTTTTTTTTTTTCCTCGTCTCTTTTGTTCCTGCTCTGCATCAGCCATTTTGGCTGCGAAAAAGGGCCGGCAGCGTTGTGTGCTCTGCCTTCCCACATGGCTTCATCAAAACCTTACTGGGACTGAAATTCCCTGCCTTGCTGAGTGCATTTGCCATGCATCGCTTGCATGACACCTTGCCGCCTTGTCGCCAAAGTTCATGGGTGCCGTGTCCGTTCCACCCTTCTTGTGCCATCCAAGGCCCGTTCCAGCAAGGGGTTCTTGCCAGAGCCTCCAGCTTCTCTCTGGCGGCGTGCCGCAAAATGCGGCTCTTGCACTCTCTGCACACGAGGTAGTTCCTTTGGAGCTCAAAGCAGTGCGCTGACATGCCAGGCAACGCGCCCGTCAACACCTGCTGCAACATTTCTCCTTTGGAGAGGCTGGCTGGCTGTCCTCCATTGAGCTGGATTTTTGCACCAGCCGGACACTGCTCGTGCTTGACAGCCTCCAAATCAGCCATCTTCCAATGCTTGTTGATGCGCTTGCTGCACCCTTCACATTGGAGACTGGTGCCCTTTGCCTGCCATGCATGCCCTCCATCTTGGTGGTGGTTGCCAATGTCCAAAAACAACTGCCTTTTTGGCCTCTCTGGCTTGTTCTCTATTCTTTTTACCTGTTTCCTTGGCCTCATGCAGGAAGTGGCTTTTGTCTTCAAAAAGAAGCTTGATGCGCTGGATTGCCAGGGTAGCGATTTTTTGATATCGCTGGTCTGTCACCTTCAGCTCCTCCTCCAAGGCCTCGGGTCTGAGCGACATTGCCACTTCCTTAGCCGCCTTGGTGGCGTCTTTCATGCGAGCCTGAACCGTGAAAGGTCCTCCAGGCATGTCATTGATCTGCTTCAAGGTCAAGCTCATGGGTTGGATGCGAGCCTGCTGATCATGCGTGACCAAATTCCTCAAATCATGAAAGACTTCCCTGTGTTTCTGTTTCATCCAGCCTTCCCAGGCACGAACAGAAAGCACTTGCACAAGCACTTTCTTGGACAAATCCAGGTAATGTGCCATGAGTCTCAAGCCGTAGAACCATGCTCTTTCTAATGACTGGGCGCCTGGCAGCACTGTTGTGACCGCCCCTTTGCGGTATAGGGCTCCGTCAACTTGTGCGTGGTGCACTAAGGCAACAACGTAGTGTTTGAGACGCACATCAGTGCTTGTGCTTGCGGTGCCAATTGTCACCTTCTCATTGTCTTGGAGGGCCACTTCGTCATGAACTGTCCAGGAGCCCCATGTCTGAACCGATGCACCACCTGTTGACAACTCATAGGTGGGCATTTGGATGAGGCCCTGTGCCCAAAAATCCAGGTTGATGCCTAGTTCAACTTCCGCCATGTCGGCGCGATCCAGCGGCTGGCAGGCTCTTTGTGTCTGCGGGCAGGTCCATAACAGATGAATCGTTGTGGCTTCAACCTGACAATGAGGGCACATCAGGTGCTTCCCTTCTTGTCCATCAGCGCTCTTGGAGAAGAGAGCTCCTTGATGCCAAGTCTGCAGCATCAGGTTCTGCTGTTTGTTGAGGGTGCGACTGAGTCTCCGCCATGGAAGCCAGTCAAGCGGTTGTTGCACCTCAGCCAACTGCGATCTGCGATTGATCTTCATGACAGTCTCCCATCTTCTGGCACGTGCAAGCTCTTGCTTGAGGAAAAACCAATCAGCATGCATGTTCAACCGAAAATCAGGTTGCCCATTGTGACCAGGCTTTGTCCACTCACTGTGACTCTCATAGTTCCAGCCATGTTCATGGAGGTAACATTGCAAAGCAGCCACCGGTCCTTTGGCGTGCTGCCAAGGATATTTGACTGCCTGGAGTCGTTCTCTGTGGACTTGCCAGGCTTTTTCGAGGTCTCGCCCCAGGTGTTCCGGCCAGTTGCCATAGAACCGATGGTAAAGCCTTACCTGATCTTCAAAGGCACCGTAGTCCGGATCACGATGTTGGGGCATCATGTCGAAAAGGATGTCAACATTTCCTGTTTTCTGCAATCCCATCTGGCGTCCCATGGTAGCCTTGAGACGCCGCCTGACTTGAGGAGCCAGGCCCATGGCCTCGTGCCCCCAACTAACGCCAGCGACGATGGACCCTTTATACAGCTTCAGGCGTATGGACTGCAGTGGTATCTTAAGCACCTGCAACTTCCGTGTCTTTCTGGCTGCCTTATGTCTGCGGCTCCTCATTGTCTGGATGCGCCTCAATCTCCCAGCTGTACAGTCAACTCCTAGGTCTCTCATCACGTCATGAATGCGTGGACCTCCTTGGGGAAGTTGCTCCTGTAGGATCCTCTTCACTGCAGCATTTGAGCAAACAAACCCAGTCTTTTGCGCAGACACTTTCAAATCATCTTTCTCCAGTTCTGCTCGGACAAAGTTGTATGCCTGGATGGCAATCCTTGCTGCATTGTGTGGGTCCTTGTCAACAACATCGAAACTGAGGTCGTCGATCCAAAGATCAGTGCGCAGCTGAGGATATCTGCGGTGGAACTCCTTCATTGCTCGCTGCAAGTACACTTTGGCTGCTAGAGGAGCCTGCGGGTCTCCAGCAAGAATGCCATGGGTGCCCCACAAAGGTTCTGATGCTTCGCCTTCAGCCTCCAGAATTCTGCTCCCACTGTAAACTTGCATTGCCATCGCTGCATGAGTGGCTGGATATGAGGAGGCAACCCATCTGTTGGCCAGCTTTTGCAAACAGATCCGGTCATAGAAATTGGACAAATCCAACAGCACCGAGACAACTGTGCGGCGATGGGCCGTGTGGTGTTCAGTCATGAAGGATCTCTTCAATGCAACCTGCAGGCATTCAGTCCCAGGAACAGCACGTTCCCACAAATACTCAGCTTGGATATTTTGCGACCACTGCTTGGGATACTTGTTGCGGATTCGGCACCAAAGTCGGTACAGAGTGGCAACCAGTGCGATTGGTCTTTCAATCACTTGTGATTTTGGCAGCAAAGCAATCAACGAGGCACCCCATTGGTGTGGTATCATGGCCACACTCTCAATGTGATGGAACATGTCCTTCAAGTCAGTCATTGCACTGAAAGGTAAAGCTTTGAGGAAATCAAAACCAATGCCGTCCAAGCCCGGAGCTTTCAACGCCATCTGCTTGATGGTGTACCAGATGTGTGCTTCTGTGAGCGGTTCCATTGCCTTTGCTTCTTGCTGCCCTTTTTCTATGAGGCTTTCCATGCATGGGATGAGTACCGGTTGCTCTTGCACACCCCAAATGTCTCCCCATTGGCTGACCCTCTTGTCCATGCGCTCTTCACGGGGAAGCGTTTGGAAAGGCCGCAGGTATGGGAGCTCATCTTTCTTGAGGGTGCGAAAGAGGCCCTTACAGCCCTGATGAGCTGCCTTTGCAAGCCACTGCCTGTATTCTTCTGTCTCTTGCTGCATGCTTGTTTGTTGATGCAGTTCACGCTGCTTCTGCGTGTAGTTCAGCAAAACATGGATGTGTTCATCACCGTGCTGGTACCATAGCATCTCGTACAGCATCTTGTATCCCTGACATGTCACCGGAGCATCGTTGTGCCAGTTGTCCTCATGTGCCAACCCAATTTCTGAAGGGCACCTTGATGGCGAGGTTCTCTGTCAGTTTGATGCAGCAGCCTTTGCAACCTGATTTCAATCTGGCCCCAAAATGCTAGGCTCCCCTTCCGCCATATCCATGGCTTACTGGTGTCATTCAGCGGTTTTTGTACATAATGCAATGCTGTGCCACGACCTAGGTGCGGTGCCTCAAGGTTTTGCAACACATACCTCTCAATGCGGTTGTAAAGATTGCCAACTTGATTCGTCAGATTGTCCGCCTCCTTGTTGAGCCACTTGACTTGAACTTGCTGCTCTTCAACTTGGTGCCATTCTTTGGCCGGATTTTGCAGCTTCGGTGCTGGTCCGAACTTTGACAGCTGCCGAACAACCACTTCTTCGAAATGGCCTGCAATGCTGAACCTCAACATGGCATGGGGTTTGAAAGGGACCATCCAGTCTGCTTGGACGTGCATGTCAGCTATCAAGATGTTGGATACCAAGGCCCAATCAAGTTCACTGCCAGTGTTGCATGTTTCCTCTCCGGTGGCCAGGATCTGAACTTGCATGGCCTGTGCCATTGTCGTGGTGCTAAAAGCTTCAGGTGTCACATTGAAGTCACCAAAAACAACCACCGGTTTCTGCAGCTGCTTTACGAAGGCAACAAGACTGCCCCATAAAGTGGAGTTGGTTGGTCCTTGCAACCCTTCGCCACATTTGAAATAGGTCATGATGAGCACGATGATGCTATTGGCAAACGACCAACTGACAGCGTACCATCCGCAGCCCTCAACCATCTGTTTGTGCAGGAAGTGGAAGTGCAGATGCCAAGGGTATACCATCAGCAGGCCTCCATATGTGCCTCCTTTGACACTGACTGCTGCAGGCTCCCCCAAAACTCCCAGACCTCGAGTGGCGAACCATTGAACCATCTTTTCATGATCCCCCGGTCCCAGGTGTGTTTCAACCATGAAGAGCGGCTTTCTGGGGCGGGTGACCACCCATTGTCTGACTGACTGCCCAAGCTGAGTGACATTGGCATAGTCAAACTCGATGCTTTCTTTGCGCCCACGTTTGGGAGTCGGCTCCAGTGATTTGCTGGGTTTGTCCTCAAGGTCACTGCCTATGTTTTCAGGAAGCAAACGGCTTGAAGGAATTGCCCACACTTGCACTTCTGCTGCTTAATCTTTTCGCTGATGCCCGGGATGGCCTTGGGATAGGCCCCATCATCAACTAGCCAATACAGCCCTCGGTAGATGAAGACTGCAAAGAAATGCCCTTCTTGGTGTGCTGTGCCCGAGTGGCACAGAAAACCAATGACTGAAAACTGCTTCGTTTGCGTCTCATTCCCGTCCAATGTCAAAGGCAGGTTGAAAATGGAAGGAACTCGTAGCTCTCTGTGATGTTTTGTCCACTCCCCATCAACTTGCCTATATCGTCCAATCTGTGCCACCCAAAGCCCTTGGCCATCAAAGATTTGGCCTTCAGCTGTGTTGGCCCAGCCCGCGATGAGCTGCTCAAGCTCATTGGTGCCTTGATCTTCGTGAAAAATCAAATGCATTGGGAAGGCTCGACATTGGTGGACCACTTGCCTGTGGTCAACATGATGGTAGCCCTGGATCACGCTGTCGGTGTCAGCCAGAGCCACAAGTTCTTGCAAGAAGTGGGAAGCATCATCTTGCTTGGTGTCATCAAATTGTTCCCAGAGCTTCTCAATGCCTGGGAGGTTCGGGAGATGCACTATGTCATCCGCCCGCAATGCCTCCATGACTGCCCGTCGTGTGGTGTTTCCCCACAGCTGTTTTCCGTCCATGAAACTACCTGCCCAGGTCCAAAGTCGAAAAGCAGCGTTGGCAAAACATCTATTGTTTGGATTGCCCAGTCTGCATTGCAAACACTGAGCCACAAAATCGAGCGGGCCCAAATGACCCCGCATGGTCTCATCCTTCTCAACTTCTTCTTCCTCGCTGGTTGGGATCATCATGACGTCATGATCACCAGCGCCCCCGGTGAAGCCGGGAAAAACCCCAGCTTCAAAGGCCATCTGCTGGATGGCCTGAGTCCCCATGTCAGGACACGAAGAGGCTGGCCCCCCACATCCTGAGCCACAAGCTGCACAACCAGTCGCTTTGCTCTCTGTGTCCCCTGAAGAAAAAGCATAGCTAATAGTTGTGTCATCCCCTTGCTGAGCTTTTGCCTGCTTCATGGTGTTACCCGCACTTCCTTCTTTTTGCGGCTGTTTCACCAAGCTTCACCGCCAGGTCTTTCACCTGTGCGGATGTTGCCTGCAAGCCTACACTAGCCATTGCGGTGACCAGGGCTTCAGGCGAAAGCTCGTCTGCCATTTCAGCATCTTCTTGTTTCTGATTTTCCAACTGCTGATTGTACTGCGATGTAGTCGTCTGCAGGTCCTTTTGTGCACTCTCAATCTTTGTCTGCAGCTGCTTGAGGTCTTGCAGCAGCTGGGTGTATTGAGTCTTCACTGCATCGGCCTTGGCCTGTATGGCCGCCTTTGTCTCTGTGAGTTGTTTTAAAGTCCCCACAGCTTGTTTCACTTTGGATGCTAATGGTGGTTCCGGCTGACTGGGTGCCACCAGCTTTTCAACCGCCTCCTTGAGGTCCGTGGGGAGGGAACTCAAATGCTCCTTGATGAGGGTCGGCAGGTCTGGTGTTGCTGGCGCCTCCACTTCCACTACTCCCATGGCCTGACATTTCTCCTTGAGAGCAGCTGGAAGCTGGTCCCAGTGATCCTTCAGGGCCTTGTGGATGGCCGGTGGCTTTGCCTTTTTTGCCTTCTTGCTTCTTTGGCCTCCATAGAGTCCTGGTGGTGGCTCTAACAGCGCCTCCTTGAAAGTCTTGGTGGGCCACTTTTGGCCTGAGCCATCAAAGTTCCATGGCGCCCAAGTCACCCTTTTGGATTTTCTCAAATCCGGTAGGTGCTCCTTCTGCCACCTTGCTCCACACTGATTGCATTGCAGGTGCGGTTGTGTTAACAACCGATCGCCCCATATCCAGCTTTGTCTGCACTTAGTGCAGACCAAATACTGCCTTCTCATGCTCGGTTGCGATCTGGCCCCAGTGCTCTGCAAACACGTGGTGATCTGGTAGATCGTCTTGTCCAAGTGCCCGTCAGGTCACTTGGCTTGATGCTGAAATGGCTTGAGCCCCAACAGATTATATGTATATATATCATCTTATATATATATATGTGGTGTTTTTTTGTCCTAAAGAACCACCCGAACACCAGAACACCAAGCAAGAAGGCTCCAAAATGAGGTCCAGTCCCCACCCATCCCATAGGTCACCCAACAAAGGCCGCCGAAACGGAGCATCGATGCGAACAGGTCTCCATCTTGGACATCAAGCAGGATCGAAACTCGTGCCGCGTCAGCGTCCCCTGGCTGGCCGGGTCGTGCTGTCCTGAAAGGCGCGGAACGAAGTGAACGCTGGTGAACGCCGGGCGAGGGCCCGGAAGGAGTGGAGAACCCACGGGCGTCGGTTGGAGGTGGGGAAGGGGGGGTGTTTACCCGCGAGTGGCGGTTCGGGTCAGGTTCGGGCCACCGCTGGGGTCGTAGGTCCCGGGAAGCGGCGGAGATCCACTCACTGGGTCGATCCACCGGGGTGGAGAAATCAGCTCTACCACCCACAAGGGGTTAACACCCCGTCTCTATGGGGCGAATAGACACCCCTTCAACGGGCCCTGGTATCCTGTTTGTCCCCAAGTTCTTTTCAATTGCACCGGCTGTTTCTGCTCTGCACACAGACTCTTCCCAGAAAGGCATAAAGAAGAAGCAGATTCTTCAAAGTGGGGTCAGTCACTTCTGGTCGATGGATATAGTGTACAGTAAGAAACCGGCACACTTCATGCTCCTTCAGATTGCGAGTTGGGTGCCACAAAACCAGAACAAGAATTTGAAGAAGTAAGCCATCTTGAGGCAACTTTGAAGCTATCGCAATCCTAGGGATCCAGTCGTACCTTCTCAAAAGGTGATGTGTTCGACTCTGTTCTCGGTGAAACGTCGGGTCCAGTCGGGTTCCAAAACGGGCCGGATCCCGGATGGGCAAGAGATCTGCCAGGTCTCCAAACGCTTCTCGCATGGTCCTCGCCACTTCCTCGATCTCCTCACCGAAGCAGAGCTCGATGGCCTGCGACAGAGCAGAGGAATTCAGCTGCCGCAGTGGAAGGTGGAATTCATCAGCTTCTCAAAGTAGCTTGCCGCAGTGGAAAGCCCAATGATCCGTTTGATTATTTGATGGAGTGAATATCACTTTGCAAGATATGAGTTTTTCGCGGATGAACTACAGCCTTTGTTCTTACAAGTTTCAAGGGCAAGATGAACGTGGCAAGTCACTGGGATGAACATCAGGCATAAAAAGCTCTATGGGTTGCTTTTGGGGGGGCACCCCAAAGTAGTGAACTGGAGGTTCATGAATGAATGTATAAATTGTGACCATAATTGACCCACACTGGTGACTTGAGTCTCCGAAAAGAGAATCACCCCCCAAAACAAGACCCTGCTTCCGTCCTTCCTTTCCTCCTTCTTCCGGCACCAAACCGACCATTTTGGGGCAGCTGTGCGCTCCGGCCCCCTTCGTTCGAAGCGGCACCTCCATGGTCACCGGCGCGGCATCCGCGACCTTCCGGCTCTCAAAGGCACTGCGCCGCTGCCGGAGCCCCTCGATGATCTCCGGCGCCGCCGACACGAAGGGCTGGTACTCGATCCTGGCGCTTACGCGTCGCACGGGGTGCGTCGAGCACGGTCGGTGCTGTCGCGAAGCCTCCGGGGGGGCGAAGCCTGGGGGCGAAGCAGCCGGGCGAAGCTCTGCTTGTGACGACACAGGGGATCGGTGGCATAAACACCGGGAGAGGGGCAGTTCTGCAACCACTTGGACAGGTGGGGACATGGATGGGAGTTTCCGGGCTCGTCGTGTGGCAACCTGGAAGGATCATTTCAACCATACCTGGCTCTTCCAACTGTACAAAATGTCTGTCTACATTGTAATGGGTTTGCTTTGCGGTGAGGGACGTCAGCTGGTTGAAGTCAGCTGCGGTGAGGGACGCCACAGACATTCCTGTGATATGAGGCACGACCAGACCTTGGTTGGTTTGAGGATCTCAACTGCGAGACCAATGGTGTGAACAATACATCGCCGCCAGGGAGAGGGATTCAGCACAAAAGTTCGGACGGGGCATAGGGCCAAGATCCAAGATTGAGGCGGATCACGCGAAAGCCACCAAAACTTAACCAAACCCATGGAAGCCTCATCAGTCTGAGCTGGTTTGAAACATCCCTATCCAAGCAATGGACACTGGCACAAACATCCGGCTTGGCCCTCACACGGGTGAACAGTGTGGATACACCGAACAGCATGAAACAAACCCTCAAAGCAGGAGAAGATTAGAAACTGCAACACCATGCAACCCCCCTACAGTATGCGTTGGGAGCCAAGAAACCAGATTGATCGGGCACCTGTGCACTCGTTCCATCCCTATCTCCGCCCCTATATCAAGCCACTGGTTCCCCTCCAAATCCACTGGCCTTCCGGTCTCGAACTCTGTCGCTCTGGTCAAAAGCAACTTGATGTCCCAATCCGTCAACCCCAAGGGTGTGGCATAGAGCAGATCAGCGACCTCCTTGTGTCGGAGCTCGAGCTCATTCTCCTGCCGATTTGGAGAAATCGGAGTAGAGAGAAGAAAGGCCACAACGTCTTCTCTGAAAGACGTCCCCAGAGGTCTTCTTTCACATCCCTCCACGCCCTTCCAATCCACTCCAAAGCCACTTCAAAACCTCTCCCAAAACCCTGCAAACCTCGTCCGCCGCATCAAAGATGTTGGCCAACAAGGTGCTCAAATCCAGCTCCACCGCTGGATCCTCCGCGGGAGCAACTGGTACACCGGCTCCAGCGCTGGGAACAGCGGCCACATCAGCGGCCACGTGGCCGGGCGCATGTGGCCCGCTTGCGTCCTCCACTGTGACCTCGAAGCCGGAGCGCCAGAGGTCAAGGTGGTATGTTGCCATGTAATTATACAGTACAATTACTCATGTAGACTGTTGATTTATGAAACCCCTCAGGACTGGAGATGTCAAACCATTCTGGTAAGGTGGTCTTATAAACACACAAGAGTTTCAGCCCGGATGACCAACCACCAAGTGGGGCACAGGCAAGTTCGAATGGCTGGTGCCCACCAACATGAAGGTTCGGGGACTGCAGGTTTCTTCTGAGACAAGGGCCGTCCAGCCACTGGAGGCCTTGGAGCCACATTCGGAAAACTGCTTCCATCTGGCATGGCTAGCTGGATCTTTGCCACTTGGAATCCATTTAAGCCACTCCATGCAATTTCCGCAAGCACCCTAACCTTTCCAGTTCCAACCACCCGAGCAGCGTTGGTTGAGCAAAAAAGCACGTTCCCCCACCAAATTCTGCTGGGCGACCTCCGCTTCTTCAATGTGTGGAGGTGGAACCAGGCGAGTCTGTTCGAAGGAGGTCGCCAAATCGTGGAGCTGCCGCACCTGAGCATCGCGAAGCGTTGTGAAGCGTTGCGATGTGCGTTGGCCGTTGACCGTTGGCAGGAGACGGGTTGGGGAAGCGAATGTTGGAATCTCGCGGCGCACTTTTCAAGAAACCTTGCAGAAGACACTCTCTGGCATATATAGTCAACCCCAGGAATTGGATTCGACAAATCACAAGGAACACCCCCAAAATGGGCATGAATCATCCATCTGCTCGGGATCTTTCAGAAGGCCTCGCTCGGGTCTTTGATAGAACGGGTCGCTCTGATTCCGCGCCTGCAACTTGTCCCCGATGATGCGGTCGAGCCAGCATTCGTACATCCCAGGAGCTAAGCTTTGTCCGCTCACCTGTCGTGGACACGTTTCCGGAGAAGAACGGAGGCCCTCTCCGCCGTGAAACGGTCGCCCGCAAACGGACGTTGGGCGTGTTGGGTTCGGACGATGTGGCAGATGTTGGGCCAGTGCCGTTCGAAGGGACCTTGATGGGACCTTTGAAGCTCCCATATGGGTGGGGTGTGGATGTGTGAGGGATGGCAACTGATGCCAGTCTGACGGTGTGCTCGAACTTGACCCGTCAGGATGTATCTGAGATTCTTGCAATTGCCAGATCAATCAGGTTCAAGCCCATCGAAACCCTTAAGCCAAAAGCCCAAAGAAACCAAGGCCTTCTGCTGGCACAAGCGCCAGCATCGAAATGCGCTTTCCCTTCTCTTCTGCCCGCCTCATGTTGAACGTTCTCCTCCTCGAACTGGTAGGTCAAGGCGCCGGTGGAGGTGTCCAAGTGGAAGTACACGAAGACCACAGCCACCGGCACCGGACAATCTTGTGCCGGGCGACTGAAAATCGTCTCCAGCTTAATGACCTGACAGTGGCTTTGGCACCGCTTCGCTGCGCGCCAACGCGCGCGACCCGCGCCAACGAAGGCAGAACCGGTGCCGATCGGCAGAGTGGGCGTCGGTTTGATCACGTCGGAAAGAACTCGACATGTCGCCATTCTGCTGACTCACTGGTAGGTCCGTGCTCAGTCCCGAACATCGGCTTAAGAAAGATAAGAAAGGCGTGGCTGCCTGTGGCTTGCACACGCAAATCCACCGGACGCATGGCGCCGATCGGACACGCACGTCCGTGTGTTCAGGGTGCCATTTCTGGGACACCGGGGTGCTGAACGCGGTGCCCCAGAAACCTTCAACCTGGTCCTAAAACCTTCAGTGAACCATTTATGATGAACCTGTTTTGGTCTGCCCGTGAGGGTGACGCCCTGCCTTCTGCTCGAGCATTTGCACCGCCCGAGTGATGTGAGTATACCTCGCTCAAATCCGCTGGGAAAAAATGGGTCCCAACGATCTCTCCAACAGCATCTGACGACTCGGACGACTCGTCGACGACTCAGACGAGCTGGTCGGGTGCATCCGGTCGGCGGCCGAGCTTCCGAGGACGAAGTCTCGAGGCTTCGCAACGAATCGGTCGATCGTTGCCCCTTGAGGTGTCGCGGGTTCGGTTCCTTTTTACTTTACAAACAGTAAAAAGGTCTTGAACCTTCTGGTCATGGAGCTACTATAATGACTGTTTAAAGAAAAGAGCTTCTGAAGTCACACGTGTCCACTGGTGAGGTCGTTTCAGTGCGGCCAGATACTTGTTGCACTGCCACTTGGAAAGCTCATCCTCCACCTGCTGAATGGCCGCATCCACACGGACCCCGCCCACCACCGTGCTCCGGCTGAGCTCTTCCCGCATGGCGTCACAGGAGAGGAAGCACTGGTGAGTCAAATCGAAAGGATCAGTTCACACCGTCGGGTCAAAGGACTCTGTTGGTGGTGCACATGATCAGAAATGAAGAAAAACTCGAAGTTTTGACTGGTCTTGCTTCAACGGCAAATCTGGTGGCTTCCAAACCGAGACCAATTTGCACCTGCGCCACATTTGCAGCGGTCCATGAGCCAAGGAACGTCAAAAAGTTGGCAGACTGACCATCCGTCTTGCCGGGCGACATTTGGTCGCCGAACAGCACCAAAACACTCTGACGAACACAAAAAACATGGAAGTGGATGGCCCGGCCCCTGTTTCAGACCATGAGTTTTCCCGAAGACCAAACAGGTGGTGCCATCCATCCAGCCCATGTGATGCATTCGCCTGCCGAATGTGGAGCCGTGCGATCCCCCGAAGCCGAACCGCCCGGAGAAGTGTCGACCGAGTCTTCGAGAAGTGAATGATGTGGAACTCAAAGAAATGATTTTGAAGAGCCCTTCAAACGCATGCTAACCTGCTTGAAACATCACCTGCTTTCGATCCATGATCTGATGAATGCTTCTCTCCTTTGAGGGATGGCGTCTGGCTGTGGGCAGACTAGTCTCATTGCCTGTTTCAAAAAAAGAAACGCGCCGCGCGAAGCGAAGCTTCCAGGGATACTGAGATCACTTCTATTCATTTTTTTCTCCAACCGGTTCATCCTCACCCAACAGCAGCCCAACAGTCCAGCAGGTGTACCGGTTCCTCTGCCTGTTCTTTCTTCCGTATCTGCATCCCAGCTGTCCATCACAGTTCCCTGCCAGTTCCGAACAGGACGTTTCGTCAACAAAGGCCTCCAATTTGTAGCAAAACACCGGCGCAACACGCATATAGGCGCGTTAAAGCCGCTAGGACATTAGGGTATGGGTGTCTCAAGTCACCTACGTTTTCCTATGACACCTATCTGTTTTCGAATGACCCTATGGCCCTATGGCTTCGGATTGTGCAAAACTCCAGCGCGCTGCCTACTCCTTTCCAACAAGAGTCTCGGTTTTATGGTGCATTTCAGGTACGTGATTGGCCTGCGACAGGACCATTCCTTTGGATTCTTTCGCATTCGCATCGGATGATGGTGAGACCACCGATGGTGTGGGGCCCGAGGATTCCTCCCGGAATCCTAGGGAGTGTCTATGGATGTCAGGATGGTGTCAGGGGTGTCACCAGAAACGGTCCTGGTCTCGTTTTCGTCCCAGTTCTCTTTTGTCTCGGCACCATGCCACGCCACCATCACCTGCGCAGACAACGTCGTGGAACGAACACGACCGAACAGGTGAGTCTACTGTACTACAGCGGATCGCCCCGTGTTCTAAACGGCCTGAAGAAAACATGTTCATCCTTCGGAGACAACTGGATGTTACAGTCAATTCTTGAAGGCTTGACTCGTGCTTGCGTTTCCAGTGCTTTCGATGAGAGCACCCTTTCTGGTCGCTGCCAGCCAGGCGCCGAACCAAAAAAGAATTGTCTTTTCCTATCAAAACAAAGGTCCCTTCCTCAAACAGGACCAACCTTGTCAGGTTCCGTCGCCGGACTGCGCCAGCCGCAGCGAAGACTCCATGCCCTGAGAGGCACTCGGCAGTCGAGGCACTGCCAACATGGAGGCTGTTTGACCGGCGGTTTGACTCCGTCCAAAGGAGACTCTAATAGCCACCCTGGACCTCTTCTTTTTGGTGGCGGCCAATCTGAACTAGAGTATGCTGGAATCTCCGCATTTCATGCAAGAGATTCTCCTGTACAGCCGAGGAACACGGCGGCTACGGAGACGAACAAGCGAAGCCGAACACCATGCAGCCCGTGATGGCCCTGCACTCCATGCAAGGGCACACACTGTACGAGGAGCTTCTCTCCTCTCTGCAGCATGGACGGAAGACCAAAGCTTTCCAACCACACCTCTGTCGACTCCCAGTCGAGCCTTAGAAGGAAAAGATCTGGGCATCGTCATATCCCATGGCATGCAAGGCAGGCACACAAGCCTTCTCCAGCATCACGGGCGGCCCACACATCAAGCAGAGGCCTGTCTCGCTGGCTGGAAAAAGGGACGCTTTTGCCATTGTAGTGTTCACAAAGCCCACGTGCCCCTTCCACTCAGGCACGAAATTCTTAGCTGCTGATGGGCTCACATTCTTCTCCGCAGAGGGAGCTTTGTCAACAGTAAGGCTCAGCATGAAGCGCTCCGGATTCTCTGCAGCCAAGCCTTCAAGGATGTCTCGGGCAAGGATGTCATCAG